GCCGCCATCATCCAGACTGTTTGGGAATGGATACCCAGCCAACCACAAGTCTTTTTTTTTTTGGGGTATCAGAATTCTTCCAGAAAGTTGGAAAAAATGCGTTGACTCCAGAGGGGAGTATGTTGAAGACTAACATGTGCAAATAATTGTTTGGCAAATGTGTTTTTTTAAATCAGTCCCGGTCATATTTGAACCACCTCGTATAAGAAAATGTGATGAAGTTTACTCAAGTTATAATGGAAATTGGACAGTGGTAAAATGCTTTGGCACACACATTTAAGTTGAACTGCTCTCTGTTATAATTAAGCTAATTTTGTATTTGTGATTGTGATGTTCTAGAGGAGCGTCATCGTATATTTCTTTGTAAAAAGAGACTTTATTCTTTTTCTTCAGGCTAATTTTGGAGAATTAGAAGACCTGCATGGACATTGCTGCTTGGTGTGTCCTGCAGGACATGTTTCTGAACTGATTTGCAATGACACAGCTCTGATTGTATGAACATGCAAAAGCTTGAGTAATGTGTTTTGTAGAGAATTGGAGGAAAATGGATGAACCACAGGTCATGTTATGTCGCACAAGCGTCTTAATCATTGAAATAGCAATGCCACAACATACCATCATTTATGAGGTAAGTTGTAGAGCTGCAGTCCCTCTTATGGAGTTATATTAGTTGTTCTCTGTTTCCCACTTAATTTTGAACTGTTAAATGTTTGGTTTTAAGGAGCATGTGGTTGTTAGGCATTTGTGTTCTTCCTCGTAGTGATACTTGCCTGCCTGCCTGCATTAGGCTGCTTGTGGTTTCCTCTTTGATCCTGCCAGATTGCATACCTGACTTTGCCATCCATGCAGCTCAAGAGCATTGTCACATAGTATGCATGTGGCTTCCATTGTCCTAAGGGAGTAAAACCACTCACCATTGCCTTAAATTAAAATTCTGATAGGTAGAGTGGAGTGTATTAGGGATGCTAACACCTTTTTAAGAAGGATTGGTTGTAGTGTTACCTTTTACTTTATTGTGAACAATAATTGCTATTCATAACTAAATATGTATAAAACATAGCTGTACAGGAATTAAATTATATTATGGTCTCTTCACACTTATAGTCAAGAGTATTGCTGGATATCACTGTACATTGTTCATAGTATAACGTGCATATATTTATAATATTATATATATACACACATACACATATGCACACACACAGAATTACTTTTTTTTAGCTCCTCTATTGATATATGTTTTTAGAATGTTTAAGTTAAAAGACTGCTAGGTAATCTTTGATTAATTATTTTAAATGACCTTTAAATAAAATACCAAGGTAAAACTATCACATATCACAATAAAAGTCTGCTGTGTCTCAAACAATTATGTTAAATATATGCTGCTTGAAGTAAATTTGGAAGCTGCCACTATAGAAATAATTCTAAGGTGTATTTAATTCCTAACCTTTACAATGTCAGTTATTATTAAATACATTTCTTATTCTAATTTTAATTGCAGACAACTTGTGAAATGGAATATGTACCAGGTACTTACACTGATCTGACTCACTGGCAGCTTCAGAAAAGCATAGGATTTCAATAACTCTTCAAAAACAGTATGAAGTGTCTATTGCAACGGTGACATTCTCTTAGACAAGCATGTCAAACTCAACTTTTACAGAGGGCCACCTCAGCCCTATAAATAATAGTCCAGGGCCGCACTTCAAAATAGAAATATACATTAGATTTTGATACAAGGAAATTTAATTCCATTTATTATTTAGGAATAATTTCAATATAATTACCTAAGGTCACATATCTTATAGTTTTAAAAAGCAAGAGAATGTCATTTTTGACAAGTATCAAAACAACTTTTCAATATGTAAAAAGAGAGATTACACAAGAAATAATGTTAGAAATAGCAAAACATTGAATTAATAACACCAAAATTACATGTGTCGAACTTCATAAACTGTTAATTTGGAAGACAAAAAACCAACAACTATATTGTTTCACTTTAATATCGTTAATAATATAATTCATGAATGAATTAAATTATCAGTTCAATATTTTTTTGTCTATTAAATCGCATGTTTATTCGGTTTGTTATTAATTCAATGTAGTCAGTCAGTGTGTTTTTCTTGAAATATTTGAATGGTGATGATTGATGAAAAACTACATAAACAATAAAAATTGCTACATAACCAAATGCACATTTATTAAACTACTTACATTACTGGTTTGTACTTGAGACCTGGCATCTTTTCCGGGATACAAGAGAGTTAATGTCAGCTACTTGACTCTCTGAAGATGGATGGAAGACAAACGTTCTGATGTGAGTCTTGATCTGTGCGTGGTTTTGTTTGCCTTCACAAGAGAAAATAATTGTTCACAGAGGTAAGTGGAACCAAACATGGCCAGTATTCTCGCAGCAAACTGGTGCATTTTTTAGCACTGGCTTGGCAAATAAGAAAAAAATTGAGGGATACCAATTTCATTATATTTGTCTTTCAGTCCTGAATCACACTGCACTTCAATTAGTTCCATTTTAATGTTACTATCTGCCTTCTGAATATCGAATGAGAATGGAGCCGTAAACAAAGAGAAATGTTCTCGCATGATTTGAAATCTTTAAACCTGTTTTCAAAGTTATTAACTAAGTCCATTATTTGGGAAACATAACTTGTAAAATCAGAATTCCTGTGGGACTTTTTGAAATCCTGGCAGGTAGGAAAATGAATTAAGTTGCCATTCTTCATCCGTCCTTCCCAAAGTTTGAGCTTTAATTTAAAAGCCTTAATACTGTCATACAACGAAACTACAAGCTGTCTTTTCCCTTGTAGCTTTAAATTTAAGTCATTTAAATGCCAGGTAATATCCACCATAAAGGCCAAATCCTGAACCCAATTATCGTCACAAAGTTTGTCGGGTGATTCGCCTTTCATTTCCAAAAAAAAAAAATCTTAATTTCTTCTCGAAGAAGCCAAAAGCGCTTTAAAACACTATAACACGAATGCCAGCGAACTTCTGCATAGTACGGTAGACTCTCAAATTCACATCCAATGTCACTACGTAAAGAAGAAAACTGACATGTAGTAAAGACAAGCAGCGGCACGCACACAGGAAGACTACACAGAATAACACCGGTACAGTGTGGAAGAAGAACTAGCCGCTCCAGCACTTTAGACATAGGGCGAGTAACCCTAACAATTTTAAATTCTAAATTTAAAATTTAGAGAAAATTTTAAAGGATTTCAAAATCATAACTAAAGATTTTATAGTGCTACTACAGGATAATTTGACGTGTGCAATATAATCTACATACCAGACACATATCAACGAGGTAGATGTTGATAATACGACAAAAATAACAATGTGTTTTTAAATGTTAAATTTTAGACTGGGTTTCAGTGTGGCAGCAACGTTAAGAGTATACACCTGATGATGGCCGATAGAGGCCGAAACATGTAGTGTAGAAAAGAACAAGATCAAAGACATATAATATATATTGTTTGCACTTGGGACGGAGTGTGTATCATTTATCGTGTAGAGTGCAACAGGATGCTGAGATATAATAAAGAAAACTGACGTTGATTCAGTCCCCCAGATTGAATAAAATTTACTACTTTCTTCACAAATTGCAACACATTCATTTTTATGATTTTTGAGCACAGAACTTCTTGGTGAATGATCCAGTGAATATGTTGAAACTTACAACTAGGACAGACTTCTTTCTGCTTGGCCATTAACTTGGCAACTAATCCGTTCTGTTTCCCCATCACAGAAGGAGCCCCATCCGTTGCTACACACACAAGTTTCGATGACAGAAGATTGTACTTTTCTAAGAGCCCATACACTTCATTAAAGATATCCTCACCAGTTGTTGTGTTTTTAAGAGAAATTATGTCTAGTAACTCCTCAGTTATAATTAAGTCAGTATCACAGGCCCGGATAAACATAGCTAATTGTGCCACACCACTAACATCTGCACTTTCATCAACTGCAATAGAAAATGCTGTGAAACGTTTAACTTTTGCCAACAACTGTTCACTTAAATTAGTCTCAATATCATCAACTCTTTCGGCAACTGTTTCGTGACAAGGAAATATTTTTGAAAATTTGAACCTTATCGGGATATACAATTTCTGCAGTTTTTACAAGACACTCTTTCATAAACTCACTTTCGTTAAAACATTTAGAATTCTTTGCTATAAGTTCTGCAATTACATAGCTTACTTTAACAACGACTTCATTGTCTCCTTTCACGTTCCTAAACAAAGACTGTTGCTTGACGAGTGCAGCCTTAAAATCCCGTAATTTATCTTCCCTTGACTTTTCTTTATACTGGTCGTATTTTTCACGATGGGTTTCATAATGCCGTCTTACATTGTACTCTTTTGGAACACTTATATTTTGCCCACAAATCAAACATGTTATTTTACCTTCTATTTCACAACAAAAATAAGCGATTTCCCATTTTTCTTGAAAAACACAGTCCTCACTTTCAATAGTTCTTTTTTTGCTACTTGAATTTTTTGAAAGCGACATTGTTGCTGTTTAATTATAACCTTTATACACGTTCATCACAAGGTAACATCAGCACCTGTCGCTGTGTGAAAATGAACTGAATGACAAAGTTTGCTAGCAGCCCATTAGACAATGGCTGGGGTTTGCAAGCTAGTTTTGAAGGTAGAAATCCCTTGCACTTGTCTTGTCAGTTGCCACCCTCCTTTCATTCTTAGAATGACTCCAAAAAGGATTCTTGGAAATACTTGGGGTGGTGAGGCTGTGCAGATTTTAGTGCATTAACCTTCTGAAATACAGTAGTTTGTCCTTCACGAACTTTACAAACCGTTAGTTGGACAAACCCTTCTGCAATTCTCAGAATCACTGTTCCTGCAGCCTGCTAATTTATGTCTGCGTGAGACTTCTTGTCTTCTGGTCTGCTGGGAAATTGTCTTTGCAAAAAATATTTCTACTAAAATTTTAATATTGATTTTAATATCAATTAGCTCTAAGGGGGCCGCACTTTGTGGCTATGGGGGCTGCATGCGGCCCGTGGGCCGCATGTTTGACATGGCTGCTCTAAGTGAATCTCGGGTAAAACTCTCCTAAAAATAGTAATGTATATTGAAATATAGAAAATGAGGGGCACAGAAATTTATTATCAGCCTTCCATGAAGCTGAGGCATTTATGTCCCTCACAAAACCTTTCATTATTAACAGCAAGAGCGAAGCACTGTTTGATGCAGTTTATTCTAACCATTACATTCTTCTGGTTTTGTGCCATTGATATGTCGGCAAATCACACTCATCAGGTTTGACAAAGCATCACCTTGATCTTTCTGGGTATAGACCTGGAAGAGAAGAAGATCAAATGGCTGATTCATTTAACACTGTCATTTCAATTACTAGGGAAATTTTTTCAACTATGAATGGAATTGTTTGTAACGTGTGAGTGAGAAAGGGAATGGTGACTAAGTATTAGGTGAAATAAAAAATTATTAGAAAAACCCTCATAATGTTTGTCTCTGAATTACAGAAAATTCATGTGATTTCAATGTAATACTTGGTATATCAGAGGTTATCAACTTGTAACAATATGAACTCAATCCAGAACCGTTTAACCAAAAGCAGGTTGTCTTATTAGTAAAAGTATTGTAACGTGGATGGCCAGAGCGTTTCTAGGCAATGACCTGTAAATAACCTTCAGTTGAGCACGTTACAACAACAGGATGAATGTTTAAAGCTCATCGCTATAGCGCACCAAAGGACTGATGAGATAGACATCACTTAACGTGTTTTCCATGTGATCTGTGTCATTAAGAATAGAATTGTGTTTCCTATGCTCTCTGTGCTGTGGCTATGTAATGAGAGCTGTGAGCCATAAGTTCAGAGGGAATTGGAACTAGCAGCGACAGTGACAGTGGAAGATAGCCATGGGATGTTTGTAGAAGATTTAACATGTGATTTGAAGACCTTCCGTGAACTCTAGTGCAGTGATATCTGGAGTGTGACTGTGACTGTGGTACCAGGAGAGACCAGAATACGACAGAAGGTGGAAGAAGAAGGCGAAGTGACTCGGCAGCTCGGCAGTGAATCAACTTGCTTTGGAGAGCAAAGTAGAGCTAAGAAGAGAGGGATTGTTATCCGGAAGGGTTGAGTGTGTGAACTGTTATAACTGCGTGTGATTGTAACAGTGACGTTAAATAAATTGATCCATGAATCCAGAGAACCCACTAATTACTTGAAGAAAGCAGTCTTCTGGGATTTGGCACCGTGTATATGTGGTGTTAACCGACGTTTCGGAGGAACGTATCGCCCCCATCTTCAGGGTTGAAGAAAAAGTTTAAGAAATCTGCAAGCGAAAACACCGTGAGAAACGGTAAAGCAGTGAGGCCCGTTTCTATTAATCCCTAGATTCACTTAGTCAGGGGTGGAGTCCAGCTGGGTCCACTCGGCATGCCGGACATTGATTGGCCTATTGTATCTGCCCAGGTGATTATAATGATGGAAAATTTGGTGGAATGAAGATTGGCAGGGGAAACCGAAGTACTCGGAGAAAACCCGCCCCAGCACCACTTGGTCCACCACAAATCTGACTTGGCCAGACCTGTGATCGAACCTGGGCTGCCGCGGTGGGAAGCTAGCAACTAACTGCTTGAGCTATGGTGCAGCCATTTAATCAGTAGATAGTCTTTATCTCTCCATCACCATTATAGTCTTGCTATCTTGTCAGTAGTGGAAGACAGTGTCCTTCCAAGTGATTTTTTTTTTTCAAATTTTCTTGTACTTTTACACCTCCTCTACTACATTTGTAAGTTTCTTTCTCTTAATCATGTTAGAATTTGTTACATGGTTTCGTTCAGTGATGACTAGCAGTAGTCAAAACAAATGAATTTGCATCGCCTTTAATTTCTGGTATTCTTTGGTAAATGTATATATAGTTATATCATTAGACTGATTACCACAACTTTTGTGTATTTGTCATCAAGAAATAATTCATGTAGATATAAATCCACAAATCACTTGCTGGTCATATTAATGTATTGCAATTCTGACAGAAATACGACACAATTAAAAGAATGCCAGCCTTTTAGATATGCCATATAAAATTATGAAAAATACATTTACTCTAAACAGGAGAAGCAGCACATTTGTATTTACATTATTACCAGAAGGGAATAGGAGTGTCATTTTTCTCTACACACAAAACAACTACGATGGGGTACCCAAAAGAAACCGAACTAATTTTTTTGTGGGCAGAGCTTTTGTAGTACCGCGTTTTGCCGCTATAAGCCCATAGAGCTAACATTCCTGAGTCGATAAGTCGACTACCGTTGCTTCAGAAGGTAAGGACTAGTTTCGGCAGAGTTTATCGTGGACACGGTTTTGCG